CCACCGTGGGAGGCATTTTCACTCTCATCGCCCCACTGAATGCCCTCCCACAGGGCCTTAGGAGGTGGGTCCTGCCTGCGCCCATTTTACAGATGAGGAGACGGAGGCACAGAAGTGGCTGATTTTTTTTCCCACGGGCACCCAGGCCGGCGGTCGGCAAACCCACGGAGCCAGATTTCAACAGGACGAACGACTGAAATTGCTTTTGAGAGCCACATTTTTAAAACTTAAACTGTAGCCCAAACTGGTTTGGCTTAGTGGATAGAACGTCGGCCTGCGGACTGAAGGGTCCCGGGTTCGATTCTGGTTAAGGACATATGCCTTGGTTGCAGGCACATCCCCAGTGAGGGGTGTACAGGAGGCAGTTGATCGATGTTTCTCTCTCATCGATGTTTCTAACTCTCTATCCCTCTCCCTTCCTCTCTGTAAAAAATCAATAAAATAGCCAAAACCGGTGTGGCTCAGTGGATAGAGCATCGGCCTGCAGACTGAAGGGTCCCGGGTTCGATTCCGGTCAAGGGCATGTACCTTGGTTGCGGGCACATCCCCGGTGGGGGGTGTGCAGGAGGCAGCTGATCGATGTTTCTCTCTCGTCGATGTTTCTAACTCTCTATCCCTCTCCCTTCCTCTCTGTAAAAAATCACTAAAATGTATTTAAAAAAAAAAAAAAGAAAAGGAAAGGAAATACCACAGAGTGAACTTACTCTTGTAACTGGTGCCCATGAACTTGAAAAATCAAGTGCACTTCCTAAGGGCCTGTCACTGCCAAAGAGCTTCACATACGGAAACTCTGGGCTTTGCTAGTCACCCCATGGGGGCAGCAGGCAGGACGGTCGTGAACCAGCTCTGTGTTCGGATGAGAAGTCGGGGGGGAGGAGTTAGGAGGGAATTGGGGAGGCAGGTGACTGGTCTCAAGCTGCCCAGTTCGCAGGCGCTTGGGCCTGGGACTGGCTCTGGCCCTCTGAGGTCAAGGCCACCTTCTTCTGACCTTCGCTGCCCAGGGGCCCTGGGGACCTCACTGGACCTTGTCCCTGTTGACCTGTTGTCTTTAAGAAGCGGGACAGCTGGAACCAGTGTGGCTCAGTGGATAGAGCGTCAGCCTGCGGACTGAAGGGTCCCAGGTTCGATTCCGGTCAAGGGCATGGACCTTGGTTGCGGGTCCATCCCCAGTGGGGGGTGTGCAGGAGGCAGCTGGCCGATGTTTCTCTCTCAACGTTGTTTCTAATTCTATCTCTCTCCCTTCCTCTCTGTAAAAAAAATCAATAAAATATATATTTTAAGAAAAGAAACGGGGCATGCCCGGCCGGCGTGGCTCAGTGGTTGAGCATTGACCTATGAACCTGGAGGTCATGATTCGATTCCCGGTCAAGGGCACAAGCCTCAGTGTGGGCTCGATCCTCAGTGGGGGGTGTGCAGGAGGCAGCCGGTCCACGATTCTCTCTCATCACTGATGTTTCTGTCTCTCTCTCTCCCCTCCCTTCCTCTCTGACATCAATAAAAAATATATATTTTATTTATTTATTTTTATATATTTTATTGATTTTGTACAGAGAGGAAGGGAGAGAGATACAGAGTTAGAAACGTCGATGAGAGAGAGTCATCAATCAGCTGCCTCTTGCACACCCCCTACTGGGGATGTGCCCGCAACCAAGGTACATGCCCTTGACAGGAATCGAACCTGGGACCCTTCAGTCCCCAAGCCGACGCTCTATCCATTGAGCCAAACCGGTCTTGGCTATATATATATATATTTTAAAGAAGCAGGATAGTTCCCAGACAGAGCCTCAGGGCACACCACCGCCCAGCGCCCACACGCCCGCCCGCCCGCCCGCACAACTCTGGTCCCTGAAGCCACACTGTGTGCCAGCCCCGTGCTCTCAGCGAGGCTGGAGCCGGACACGTCCCCAGGGCCCCGAGCGTGGGCAGCCAAGTACCAACTTTGTCCTTGAGGGTGCGGTTGAGGGAGTAGAGGAAGAAGTTGTGCCGCCCCGTCCACTGGACGCCAAGGACACTGGCCAGCCCTGGGAAGAGAGGAGGAGGGGGAGTCAGTAAGGAGCGGGGGTGGGGGCCTTTGGTCAGGGCTGATGGCCTTTGCCCAAGAGGAAGTCGGTTTGAAATTTAAAAAAAAAATAGTTTGTTCCGCCAGGCTGGCGTGGCTCAGTGGTTGAGCGTCGACCTAGGAACCAGGAGGTCACAGGTTCGATTCCCGGTCAGGGCACAAGCCTGGGTTGCAGGCTCCATTCCCAGTGGGGGGCGTGCAGGAGGCAGCCAACCAGTGGTTCTCTCATGTGGATGTTTCTCTCTCTCTCTCTCTCTTCCTCTCCCTTCCTCTCTGAAGTCAATAAAAAAATACTTTTAAAAAGTGGTTTGAGCCGAAACCGGTGTGGCTCAGTGGATAGAGCGTTGGTCTGCAGACTGAAGGGTCCCAGGTTCGATTCATGTACCTTGGTTGCGGGCACATCCCCGGTGGCGGGGTGTGCAGGAGGCAGCTGGTCGATTTTTCTAGCTCTCTATTCCTCTCCCTTCCTCTGTAAAAAAAAATCAATAAAATATATATTTTTTAAAAAGTGGTTTGTCCCCATGGGCAGCACCCACCACAAGGGTGATCGCCCCGGAGAGCAGGGGCTGGGCACCCAGGAGGAGGGCTGCCCCTGGACCCGCTCACTGTCCTGGGAGGGGCAGTAGCCGCAGCTCCCTCGGCTGCTTTCACGGCTTCAAGGTCATTCGTGTCCATCCGGCTGTCAGCGTTTTACTTATATTTCTAAAAATATATTCTTATTGATTTCAGAGAGGGAGAGAGAAACATCAATGATGTCAGAGAATCACAGATCAGCTGCCTCCTGCAGGCCCCACACTGGGGATCCAGCCCACAACCCGGGCATGTGCCCTGACCGGGAATCCAACCCTGACCTCCTGGCTCCTAGGTCGACGCTCAACCACTGAGCCACACGGGCTGGGCTGGGCTGGGCTGGGCTGGCCGTCAGTTTTTAAATCACATCCCGAACGAAGTGAGTTCCTGCCCGGAACAGCCTGGCACCCTCCCCTGAGGCGGGCCACACCCGGAGGACGGTGCCAGCCCCATCCTCAGGGCCTCCGGGCCGCAGCCCAGTCCCGGTCCCCTCCCCCCTCGCAGGGTGCGCTGTGGGGACCCGGGGGGTGCGGGGGCATTGCCCCCAGGTGCCTGGCCACGTGCCCAGGACAGCCACTCCCTCGTGGCCACTTACCCGGGGGGCTCTTCGCCTCTGTTGGCATCACAGTGAGGCAGCTAGGAAGGAGGAAGTGGAAGGTGGCCATACTGGAGAGAGAGAGAGAGAGAGAGAGAGAGAGAGAGAGAGAGAGAGAGAGAGGGAGACTGACTCATCAGAGCCATGGCAGACTCCTTGGCAAGGAGCAAGGCTGGCAGTCTCGGTACCAGGACGGGAAATGGGGTCCAGAGCCCCGAGGCATTGTGGGTGCAGGTCCTGGTGGGTGCAGAACATGGAAGTCGGTGGGGAGGGGGAGGGGGGAGAGCTGCGGGAGCCTCTCCCAGGCCTGGGCAGCGCTCTGTCTGACCCCAAAGACCCCTCAGGACCAGGCTTGGGCCGTGTGCACAAAGGCTCTCTCTGCCTGGGGGCGAGACAATCAGTGCTGTGCAGAAACATTGGCTGTTTTTTGTTTTTTAATATATTTTATTGATTTTTTACAGAGAGGGATAGAGAGCTAGAAACGTCGATGAGAGAGAAACATCCATCAGCTGCCTCCTGCACACCTCCTACCGGGGATGTGCCCGCATCCAAGGTACATGCCCTTGACCGGAATCGAACCCAGGACCTTTCAATCCACAGATCGACGCTCTATCCACTGAGCCAAACCAGTCCCGACTGTTTGTTTTTTTTAACAAAAGCCCAATGCCTGATGTATAGGGCTGTGGCTCTCTGTGGTGTAAACAGTCTCATGAGGGACAGTAACCTCTGAACCAGGAGGTCAGGGTTCGATTCCCGGTCAGGGCACATGGCCCAGGTTTCGGGTTCAATCCCCAGTAGGGGGCACGCAGGAGGCAGCCGAACAATGAATGATTCTCTCTCATCATTGATGTTTCTATCTCTCCCGCTCCCTCTCTCTCTGAAATCAATAAAAATATACAGTGAGTGGTCAGATGATGATGATCTCTGAATGCATAATAGTCTGGCCACTCAGTGTATATCCTATAGAATAAAAAGGCTAGCCGAGACCAGTTTGGCTCAGTGGATAGAGCATCGGCCCGTGGACTGAAAGGTCCTGGGTTCGATTCTGGTCAAGGGCATGTGCCTTGGTTGTGGGCACATCCCCAGTAAGGGGTGTGCAAGAGGCAGCTGATGGATGATTCTCTCTCATTGATGTTTCTAACTCTATCCCTCTCTCTTCCTCTCTTTAAAAAAAAATCAATTAAAAAAAAAAGGCTAATATGTAAATTGTCCCCTCGACCAGGAGTTCCACCAGCAGGCAGGCCGGCCAACCACCCATGTCCCCTGCCCCTGGCTAGGCTGGCTGGACCCCACCCATGCATAAATTCATGCACCAGGCCTCGTGTGTGTGTGTCCTCGTGTGTGTGTGTGTGTGTGTGTGTGTGTGTGTGTTGTGTGTGTGTGTAGATAGATATAGATATAGATATATGCATATATATGCATATACACACACACACTGAGTGGCCAGATTATTATGCGTTCAGAGATCATAATCATCTGGCTACTCAGTGTGTGTGTATATATATATATATATATATATATATATGTGTGTGTGTGTGTGTGTGTGTGTGTGTGTGTGTGTGTGTGTGTATATATTAAAAAATATATATATGACTTCTCAAAAGATCTGCTGGAGTTCTCAGATCGGAAAGGTGCCCGGAACCGGAAGCTTTCAGACCCCGGGTGGAGTCAGTCCTCGGGGAGAAGCCCTGGGGGCGGGGCCGGGGCGCAGGGGGCGGGGCCGGGGCGCAGGGGGCGGGCTCACCTGAGCGGCTCCTCCTCCCACTCCCCATCCAGGTACTTCCGGTACGTGTCGTTGAAGATGGCGGTCTGCTGCTCCCACTGGCTGTCCTTGATGATGTGGTTCTGGCCCGAGCCCAGGCCGTAGCAGCCCTCCAGCTTGGCAAACACTTCCAGGGGGCTTTTGACCAGGGAGCCTGGGCGGGGGGCATTCCAGAGGCGCTCAGACCGCCCGGCTCCCTGCGGAGTCCCGCCTCCTCAGAAACCCCGCCTCGCCTGCAGCCCTCCATCCCCCGAGCCCAGGCTCTCTCCCGGCCTCTCTGCTACCCCAGGTGCTCAGCCAGCTCGGGCCACCGCGTCTCCCTCCCACCGCGGGTCCTCACTCTGCAGAGGAGGCCCCGAGGCTGTCCCCATGTCACCAGACACCCACCCGAGGGCACTGTCGCTGCCCCACCAGCTCAGCGGCCAGTCCTGTCTCTTCCTCTGTTTGTTTATTTTTTTTTATCTTATGCTTTTTTTTTTTAATATATATATTTTATTGAGTTTTTACAGAAAGGAAGAGAGAGGGATAGAAAGCTAGAAACATCGATGAGGGAGAGAAACATCGATCAGCTGCCTCCTGCACACCCCCTACTGGGGATGTGCCCGCAACCGAGGTACACGCCCCTGACCGGAATTGAACCTGGGATCTTTCAGTCCGCAGGCCGAGGCTCTATCCACTGAGCCAAACCGGTTTCGGCTGTTTTATACTTTTTTTACAGAGAGGAAGCGAGAGGGATAGAGAGTTAGAAACATCGATGAGAGAGAAACATCGATCATCTGCCTCCTGCACACTCCCCACTGGCACATGCCCTCGACTGGAATCAGACCTGGGACCTTTCAGTCCACAGGCCGACGCTCTATCCACTGAGCCACACCGTCTCGGCTCCTCTGTTTAGTTTCCTTCAACTTCCTTCCTCTTCAAGGCCTTCTCCTCCCGTCAGTCACTCTCTCCATCACTTCCCCTCCCATTTCCTTCCTGTCGCCTGTCCCTAAATCCTCGGGAGAACTGGGCGGTTTTGTTGCTGGGTTCGCACCCCCAGCTTTCGGAGCTTCGCTCCTTGGCACGTGCCCGGGGCCCTCACGTTGCCTGGCAGGTGCCAGGCTGGCCGGATGCCCTTCCCCTGGCAGCCAGTGTTACCAGTCTGCTGCGTGGCACTCCACGGCAGCTCCTCGTTGATAAACTATGTGGCCTATTCCATCCCTGGATGCCCTCTCTGGTTTCCTTATACATCGCCTCGCTCCCATGGGCAGAACCTACAGCTGATTGTGCTGATGAGTGAACTAACACGGGGTGTAGCAATGAATGCACTCCAGCCCTAGGTGGTTTGGCCGGTGTGGCTCAGTGGCTAGAGCATCGGCCTGTGGACTGAAAGGTCCCGGGTTCGATTCTGGTCAAGTGCATATACCTAGGTTGCAGGCATATCCCCAGTAGGGGGTGTGCAAGAGGCAGCTGATTGATGACTCTCTCTCATCGATGTTTCTAACTCTCTATCTCTCTCCCTTCCTCTCTGTACAAAATCAATAAAATAAATAAATAAATAAATAAAGTGGTATCAACAGTCAAAGGAGAGTGTTAGTTGAATCAGACTGACCGGTGATCGGTTTGGGTTAGTTGAATCAGACTGACCGGTGGGTGATCGGTTTGGGTTAGTTGAATTAGACTGACTGGTGATTGGTTTGGGTTAGTTGAGTCAGACTGACCAGTGATTGGTTTGGTTTGGTTGAATCAGACTGACCGGTGATCGGTTTGGGTTAGTTAATCAGATTGACCGGTGATCGGTTTGGTTTGGTTGAATCAGACTGACCGGTGATTGGTTTGGGTTAGTTGAATCAGAGTGACCGGTGATCGGTTTGGGTTAGTTGATCAGACTGACCGGTGATCGGTTTGGGTTAGTTGAATCAGACTGACCAGTGATCGGTTTGGGTTAGTTGATCAAACTGACCGGTGATTGGTTTGGGTGGCTTGATCTTCATGATGTGGACTGGAAGACTCAACTTAATATCTCCCAGGTAACAGACGCTCACATCCTACAATAAGGAAAGGCACAGCTAATAAGACCACAAGGGAGAAAAAAAAACCCACACGGAATAATTCCAAGATGGCAGGCAGAGAGGAAAAAGGAAGAAAATGAGGTAGGACAATAGAGAGCACATAGCCAAGTGGAAGATTTAAACAACCATGCCCGGCCGGTGTGGCTCAGTGGTTGAGTGTCAACCTGTGAACCAGGAGGTCACGGTTCCATTCCCAGTCATGACCGGGGCTGCGGGCTCGACCCCCAGTAGGGGGCGTGCAGGAGGCAGCCGATCCATGATTCTCTCTCATCATGGATGTCTCTCTCTCTCTCCCTCTCCTTTCCTCTCGGAAATCAATACAAATACATTTTTTTAAAAAATACCTGCCATTTCTGTATACTGAGAACAAGCTGTTTATACCAGAGGCCAGGAAATCGAGGGGAATGTGAGGTATGAAGGGGTTACATCGGCTCCGAAGGGAAGAGGAGTGAGTTAGTTGCCTGGGAGACAGAGGAAAAGCCCCCCAGAGGAATGCTGGGGAGCCGAAACCGGTGTGGCTCAGTGGATAGAGCATCGGCCTGCGGACTGAAAGGTCCCAGGTTCGATTCCGGTCAAGGGCATGGACCTTCCTCTCCGTAAAAAAAAAAAAAAAATCAATAAAATACATTTAATAAAGAGAGAGAGAGAGAGATGGAGAGAGAGATATGGAGAAAGCTAGAAACATCGATGAGAGAGAAACATCCATCAGCTGCCTCCTGCACGCCCTTTACCGGGGATGTGCCCGCAACCAAGGCACATGCCCTTGACCGGAATCGAACCCGGGACCTTTCAGTCCGCAGGCCGACGCTCTATCCACTGAGCCACACCGGTTTCGGCTTGAGTCCGGTTTTAACCAGAGCGGATGGGTTTGGGAGACACGGCCAGGGTGCCTGGCCCCCCTTCCCGCCCCCATGGAGGGTCACGCCGGTTGGACGTGGGGCCGGGGGAGGGGGAGACGCGGCGGTTCCAAGCGGGCTCCCTACCGTTTGGGGCTGTTTGGGTTTCTTCTTGGGGTTCGTGGCCAGCTGGGGGTGTTCCACCTCCTTGAGCCAGGCCTCCTTGGGCAACTTGTACACGTCCAGCCACGTGTCTCCGGCCCCTGCGTTGGGAAAGCCCCCCCCCACGGGGAGGCCGCTGGTTGAGCGACACCAGGCAGGCGCCGCGCGTCCCCCGAGGACGGCCTGTCCCCTCGGAACCCCTGGCCCGGAGCCCGGCAGACACCCCCAAACAGCGGGGTCCTCCAGGCCCCGGGGAGCCGGGCTGCTCCCCAGGAGCCACCGCGCCTGCACGGCCCCTGCACGGCCCCAGCAGTTTCCTCTGTGGGTTGATGGATCGGTTTCAGAGAGGAGAGGGCGAGGGAGAGAGAAACATCGATGAGGAGAGAGAATCGTGGCCCGGCTGCCTCCTGCACGCCCCACACTGGGGATCGAGCCCACAACCCGGGCACGTGCCCTTGACCGGAGCCAAACCCCGACCCTTCCCGCCCACAGGCTGGCGCTCTAACCACTGGGCACACCGGCTAGGGTTCGGAGCCATAGGAGTTTCTAGCCGGACTCTGCTGGGCCCCATCCCCAGGTGTCCCGGCTTGCAAATGGTAAACTCCAGTGACATTGGGTCTCAGCGATTCCTCTCTGGGGACGGGGGCGTTGGGGGGATGTGGTTCATATGGAATCAGCAACGGACAGGGCTAGGCCGAGGAGGGGCTAGAACTGGGACCGTCGCCTTAAGAGAATCCTTCTGCCGGGACCGGTTTGGCTCAGTGGATAGAGCGTCGGCTTGGGGACTGAAGGGTCCCGGGTTCGATTCCGGTCAAGGGCATGTACCTTGGTTGCGGGCATATCCCCAGTAGGGTGTGTGCAGGAGGCAGCTGATCAATGATTCTCTCTTATCGATGTTTCTAGCTCTCTATCCTTCTCTCTCCCACTCTGTAAAATATCAATAATATATATATATATATATATATATATATATATATATATATATATATATATATTTAAAAATAAGTAAATAAGTAAATGGAGAGATATCCTCAGGTGAGGATTATATTTAAAAAAAAAAAAAAAAAAAAAAGTGGCCAAAACCAGTGTGGCTCAATGGATGGAGCGTCGGTCTGGGTCTGAAAGGTCCCGGGTTCGATTCCGGTCAAGGGCATGTACCTTGGTTGCGGGCACATCCCCAGTAGCGGGTGTGCAAGAGGCAGCTGATGGATGATTCTCTCATCGACGTTTCTAACTCTTTATCCCTCTCCCTTCCTCTCTGTAAAAAAAATCAATAAAATATATATATTTTTTTAAAAAGTGATCATCTGGTCACCTTGACTTCAGCATCCTGGCCTCCAGTCCTGGGAGAAAATAATGATCTGTTGCTTTAAGCCATCCAGCTGGGGCCTCCCTAGGAAACTGTTGCAGAATCAGAGTCTCCTTAAATGCACAAACTGTTATAAATACACGTCTTCCTCAAGCACTTGGCATGGGAGAGACCCAGCCCTGCCCAGCCCGGCCGGTGTGGCTCAACGGTTGAGCATCAACCCATGAACCAGGAGGTCGCGGTTCGATTCTGGTCAAGGCACATGCCAAGGTTGTGGGCTCGATCCCCAGCAGGGGGCATGCCAGAGGCCGCCGATCCCTTCAGTGTGGTCTGGACTTGGTAACTGGCTTCTTTTTTTTTTTTTAATTGATTTTACACAGGAATTGAGAGGAACAGGAAGTTAGAAACATCAATGAGAGAGAAACACCGACCAGCTGCCTCCTGCACACCCCAACTGGGGATGTGCCCGCAACCAAGGTACATGCCCTTGACCGGAATCGAACCCGGGACCTTTCGGTCCGCAGGCCAACGCTCTATCCACTGAGCCACACCGGTCCCGGCGGTAACTGGCTTCTAACAGAGCTTGGACAGGGCAGCACAGTGGCTCAGAGGAGGGTGGGGGGAGGGCAGGGGAAGGGCCCGGCAGATGCCACTTGAACTAAATGTCAAGGTTAACGTGGGTGGCAGAGAGTCAAGTGGCTGTCACACACGCCCTGGTTCCATGCAGTGAAAAAAAGGCCCTTCACCTCTGCCTGTCTTCCCCCAAATCCTTAAC